TGGCAGGTCGCCCTTCTGCAGTGCTGGCGCGGCTCCTCTACGCAACGCTGGCAGGCGGTTGACCGAGCTCTGCTGGCGGTCGACCAGGCTAGCTGCAGGGTTGCTAGGTGCCTGATGTAGTCATTCTGTCATTGCTTGTTCAATCATTCTGTAATTCCAACTTTGCTAGTGGAAACTCTTGCCGATTTCTCCCGTGAATGTGCAAGCACTAAGGAACTAAGCAAAGCTACGATCACTCCTAGTAGTTCGTGCCAACCCCCGTAGTCTAGCTCACTACCATTGTAGAGTGTCTCTCCGCACCAGCAACGACCGAGGCGCAACTCGGTTCCCCCATGCCCCTAGATCATTAAGAAGGGTCCAAGTGCAGGGCAGAAATGTGAAGGCACCAACCACCCTGAGGCAACTTGCTTCAAGAAGCGAGATGGCGAGTGGTATGACGTCCACGGTGTTTCCATGAACAAGCGTCCTCCCAACTGGGCCCCATCCCGTCGCGTGAATCAGATCGAGGCAGTGGAGGAACCTGCTTAGGCACTTGCTAGCGGCTCATCTGATGTTCGCCTCAATCTGTTGTTCTCTGGTGCTGGTATTATTAATGAGAAGGGATCGCAGTACATCGGTGTTGCAAACACACAGGGGATCGAGTTCATACTAGACAGTGGTGCCACCCACACAGTGCTCAAAGACCAAACCGCATTCGTTCCCTACCAGGCCCCCGCCACACCCCAAGAGCAGATTCTAGTTTCTCCATCCAATGCCATGGGTCCTCCACAGTTCCTTGTCTAGCATTCCCATCCGGCACAGTCACTGGCATCTGTGCCCCGACCCTCCGCTATAACCTCCTTGCACCGCGTGAAATCCAACACGCATGAGTGATCACCATCCTTTCCAATGATGTCGACTACTGTGACCTCTTTGATGCCAAAACCGGCATTCATCTAGCCCGCTTCACCCTCAACTCCAACAATCTCTACACGCTCGTTGTACCTTTCATTCAAACGTGCTCACTCACCCACCTTCCGCTACCTTCCTCAGACTCCTCCACCTGTCACTGCCGTCTCCTTTCCGACAAAACCATGCTCTTCCATCACCGCCTCGGCCACATCAACTTCCGCGCCGTTTCTGACCTTGCCACAAAACAGCTCCTCCACGGACTTCCAGCCTCACTTCCCTCTCCTACCTCCAAATTCGGGCTGCCTTGCCTTGACTGTGCACAGAGCAAGATTCGTGAACAGCCCCGTCCCCCCACTGAGTCCATCTCAACTGCTCTTGATCGCGTGCACATGGATCTTTGGGGTCCAGCTCCTCTTCGTTCTCGTGGCGGACACTTCTACTTCCTTGTCATCATTGATGACTATTCTCGCTATGTGTCTGTCCACCTCCTCTCCTCCAAGTCTGAAGCCCAAGCCGTCATCATTGAATGGGCGAATAAGGCTCATAAACACTTCAAAACCACCATCAAGTTTCTTCACTCTGACGGTGGCGGTGAATTCCGCAACAACCCTCTCAAAGCCTTCTGTTCCACTGAGGGTATCCGTCAGACCTTCACTCTCCCGGACAGTCCCCACAGAACGGTCTTGCTGATAGTCGGAATCGCATCTTAGTGCAGATTTCTCGCTTCCTCCTCACTCACGCCTCTGCCCCTCCCTCTCTTTGGGGGTACGCCATGCTCCACGCTGCCGCCCTCCACAATCTCCATGCTCATCCTCATCACACCCACACCACCCCCGCTGAGCTGTGGACGGGTCAAAAGCCGTCCGTCCGCCCTCTACGTGTATGGGGGTGCACTTCCTATGTCCTCAACTCCCAAGCCCGTCATGTAGCTGGCGGCAAGCTTGCTCCCAAAACAATCACGTGAGTATACCTCGGGCACAACTCAGATTCGCCAGACTATCTCTTCCTCCATCCTTCCACCAACAAACTTTACCGCAGCCGGGACGTGTTTTTTGATGAGTCTCACCCTTTCTATCCCTCCTCCAAGACTTCCCCCTCTCCTCCACCTCCTTCTCTCACTTGGGCTGACTTTGACAGTCTTCCTCCTCCCGCCACTCCATCTCCTCCTCTTCCTGCTCCCTCCACCGTCTCTGACCCGCCACCACCCACTTCCCCCTCCAGCACCACGCAGTCTCCTCCGCTCCTTCCCTCCCCCCCCCCCCCCTCCCCCACTCGCTCCCCCACTCGCTCCCCCTCCTTCCTCTCCTCCTGCTCTGGCTCCTGATCCTGATTCCACTCCTCCTTCCGAGCCTCCTCGTCTCAAAACCTATCACCGCCGTCCTCCTGCTCCTGCTCCAGCTCCTGATCCTGCTCTTGCTCCCACTCCCACTTCACCTACCGCTACTCCTCCTCCAGCTCCGCCTCCCTCCCCCATCGCTTCTCGCACCCGCTCTCATAAACCAACACAACCGCTCTCCCTTTCCGTTCGTGTCTCTCTCTATCCTTCTCTTGTCGGGGGTGATTATTCTCTCATGCCCTCCCTCCTTGAAGACAGACATGAGGAGTTGATTGATATCGACTCAGCCATCCACGCGCCCTGCTTCCTCTTTCCAGACATCGCAGACTCTCCCACCCTCAATTTCTCCGACAACCCCTCCATCCCCACACCTCTCACCTATGCTGAAGCAATCTCTGGTCCTCACGCCGCTCAGTGGTTGGGCCTTCATTCATACAGGAACTTTCACAGATGTATCTCCTCCCTCCGGCGTCAACATTGTGAAGGGAAAATAGGTTTTTCAGGTGAAACAACTTCCAGACGAATTTCGTGTCTTCAAAGCCCGGTACTGTGCCAAGGGATTTACCCAAAAGCATGGACTGGACTTCTTTGAGACATTCTCTCCCACCGCCAAAACCTCCCACACTACGCACCCTTCTCGACGTTGCTGCTCGAGATGACATGGAGGTTGACTGCATGGATGTGTCTTCTGCGTTTCTGCAAGGGATCCTTTGAGGGGAAATCTACATGGAGCGGCCCGAAGGATTTCCAGCTTCTTTTCCACCAGGCATTGTATGGAAGCTGAATCGGCCAATGTATGGCCTCAAGCAAGCACCCCGGGAATGGCACAACAAGCTAAAGAGAACCTTAAGGTCCCTCGACTTTCACCCATCCACCTCTGACCCCAGCCTCTTCATCCGAGCAACACCATCCTGCTTCTTCATCCTGGTTTATGTCGATGACATGATCCTTGTCACCAAGGATCAAACTGAGTTGGCATCAGTCAAAACCGCACTTGGTGAGAAGCTGGCGATGAAGGACCTTGGAAATCTGATGGATTATCTGGGCATGGAAATTACACGTGATCGCACGACCCGCACCATCACCCTCTCGCAGAAGTTTTACATCAACAACGTTCTGACGAGGTTCAAGATGCAGGAAGCAGCATCAATGCCTACCCCACTCTCTCTGCAGCACCAACTCACTGCACCCTCTGTTCCCTCACCTGAGCCCTGTGATGAGCCTTTCCCCAAGCTCGTTGGATCCCTCATGTGCGCGATGATGTGCACTCAGTCAGACTTGACCTATCCAGTTAGTGTACTGTCCCGCTACGTTGCACCTGGTCGCTTCACTCGCCACCACTGTTTTGCCGCCAAGCGGGTTCTTCGCTATCTCAAAGGCACACAGGGTTATGTGCTCACACTTGGCGGCTCTTCCCTTGTTCGCCTTGAGGGGTACAGTGACTCATCCTATGCTGATGACCAGAGTGATCGGCGCGGTTCCCAAGGGTATTGCTTTACCCTTGGCAGTGGGGTTGTAAGTTGGCACTCCACTCGGTCGTCCTCAGTCTCACTGTCAACCTGTGAGGCAGAGCTGTATGCCGGGACCATGGGTGCCCAGGAGGCTCGTTGGCTCTCCTTCCTGCTGACAGAACTGGGGTATCCCCAACCAACCCCAACGCTTTGGTGTGACAACGAGAGCACCATTCATTTACCAAGGACCCCGTTTTCGACGGCCGCACCAAGCACATTGAAGTCCGTCACTACTTTCTTCGTGAGCTGGTGCAGCGCGAGCAGCTGAAGGCTGAACACATTGCCTCCGACTGCAACCTTGCTGACTTGTTTACCAAGTCGCTTGTTCGCCAGGACCATTACCGCCTCCTCTCGGCCATGGGTGTTGGGCCTCCTTGTGGCTGATGTGTTGCAGCCTAGGGGGTGTGTTAGAAATAGGCTGTCAACACTTTGTGTACTATATTCTATATCGCGTAGGTTATTTGCGGTTTGGGTGTAGTTTGTAATCCCAACCCTATCTGGTTGGGATTCCCTCGTAATCCTGCAAATCTGCCAACTCACCAATTGGAGATTTGCTAGGATTCCCTTCCCATCCTTTCCCTAGCTTTGCCCAACCCAACCTCATTTGTACTTAAAGCCTAGTGCCTTCTCTACTAATTAATCAGTTCAGCTCCATTTCTATCAGTGCGGTGGTGCTGGTGGCGGGTGGGTGGATCTGACCATGTTTGTGCTCATCACCCTCTTGGCTCACAGCCTCCGATCCGAGCTCTTCCAGCAAATTCTGCTCTTCACCTCCAAGCAGGAGGTGAGGCACCAGGGCATGGGAGAGGGAAAGGGGGAGATGGATATGGGAGGGGAGGGATAGAGGAAGGGGTCGACGGGCGAACCAGATGAGCTCAGTGCGGTGGTGGGTGTAATGTAAGCATGTTTGTGCCACAGGAGTGGGAACGACAGCGGGCAGTGAAGGTGGTGACGTGGCAGAGGGAGCATCCGCGGCAGCTCAACACCCTTGTGTCTCTCTATTCTACTCCCCCCCCCTCCCCTCCCCTCTAACAGGAGCGGGACAGGCAGTGAGCAGCAGAGATGGCAGCGGCATGGCAGGGGGAGCATCTGCGGCAGCTGCAGAGAGTGTTGCCACCACCCTCCCCCCTCTCCTTCCCTAAAAACAGGAGCGGGACAGGCAGAGAGCGTTTGAGATGGTGGCGGCGTGGCAGCGGGAGCATCTGCGGCAGCTACAGCAGGCGGAGGAGAGGCGGCGGCAGCGCAGCGAGGAGGTGCAGCGCATGAAGGACGGCATGCGCCGCCTCCACTCCCACCTCGCCCTCCTCAACTCCCCTCAGTCTGATAGCCCTGGGGGAAGAGGTGGGGTAGCTGGGCCTGGGGCGGGTAGGCTGGCGCAGCAGCATCAGCAGCAGCTGCTGCAACTGATGCTTGCACGGGGGAGGGTAGGAGGAGGGGGAGGAGGGGAGAGGGGAGAGGGAGGAGCAGGAGGAGGGCGGGGGGGGGTGCAGGGGAGTGGATGGCAGGATCTGTCTTGTGATTCGTCAGAAGCTGCAGTTGTTAGGAATGAGGTCCAGAGTGGTGCAGATGGTGCTGGTTACGGTGGTGGTGGTGCTGCTGCAGCTGAGTTTGCCACTACCACCACCACCACTGCTCGTGCCACATACCACCTCCCCCAGTCAACCCCCTCACGCGCAGCAGGTCAACCCCCTCCCACTGCCCTTCTCCCTCCCCCTGCACTCTCCTCTCCTCACCCCATACCATCCAGTACCTTATCCACTCCGTCGCCCTCCCCCACCTATTACCTTCCTCCGCTCTACCCCCCTCCTTCCACCGCCTCCTCACCAGCTGTACCTCCCCCAGCTGGCCCCTCCCCCGTGGGTCCTGTGCTGTCTGACAGTACAGAATCCCCCATGCTCCCCCCTGCTTGTACTGGTCCTTCTTATAACGCGGTTATGGAGAGGGCTAGGGCTGCTGCTGGGAAGGGATTGGTTGGTAGGGAAGGGGAGTTGTGGGGAGGAGGAGAAGCGGGAGGGAGAGTTGAGGGGATGGCAACAGCACCCCCTTCATTCTCCCCAGATTCAGGAACAGCAACAGTCACAGGAGTGGCAGCAGCAGCAGCAGCAGCGCCACCAGGAATGTCAGTAGCAGTGGCAATACCAGCATCATCATCATCACCCTCAGTAGCAGTACCATCAGCAAGAGAGATAAGGTCACGGGGATCATCCCTCTCCTCCCCTCCCTCCTCCTCTGCTCCCGGCGCTTCCTCCACCCACCCTCCCAGCGCGGTCGGCACAGGCGCCGCTAGCAGCCGATGGAAGCGGGCGGCAGGGGGCCTGGTTGGGCGGCGGAGCGGACGGCTGATTCCGGCTGGTATGCAGCAGATGATCGGCCAGGGGGTGGCTCAGGTGCAATCCATGGTGATTGCGGGGTTAGAGGATCTGCTAGATTTGGATTCGGAAGGAGCGGAGATTGGTGGAGCGGGGTTGAGTGCGGTGAGAAGTGATGGAGGTGGTGGCGGGGCAAGCAGGCTCGGGTTGAGCATGGTGGAGAGCGGTGGGATGGGAGTCACAGGTGTGGGGAGTGAAGGGTTGAGCAGCTCTGGTGGTGGTCTTTATGAGGGTAGCCTGGGTAGGCTAGACGGGGGGAGTGTTGGCGTTTCAAGTGTGGGTGTTGTTTCGAATGCCAGGCCGCGCAGCAGTAGCTGCAATTGGCCCGATCCCTCTTCTAGTGAGGGGACTCAAACTCCGGTGGGTGATTCTGACTCACAATCTCAGCGGCTGGAAGGTGAGAGTGCGTGGGTCGTTGCGAGTGCCAGGCCGCGCAGCAGTAGCTGCAATTGGCCCGATCCCTCTTCTAGTGAGGGGAAGGAGGGAGGGCTAGACTGTTTGAGTGCAGCACAGAGCTCTGATATCCTCCTTATAAGCAGTGAGGTGGATGTGTCAGCAGTGGCTGATGCGCTACCAGCTGTGCTAGAAGAAGGACCAGACACTTCGAGTGCAGTGCAGAGCCCTGATATCTTCCCAGAAACACGCCCTGTCAGCAGTGAGGTGGATGTGTCAGCTGTTGCCGATGCGCTGCCAGCTGTGCTAGAAGAAGGATCGGGCCAATCAGACGCCAGTGCTGTTCGGAGGGACGTTTTGGGGAAGGAGATTGTAGAGGAGGGGGCGGTGACGGGTGATGGCGGTGTGGGAGCATCAGGGTTTGCAGGAGAGCGAATGGGAGCAGGAGAGCGAGTGGAAAAGAGGGGGTTGAGTGCTTCTGAGGCTGCTGCTTCCATAGCAGCAGGAGGAGGGTTTCAGCCAGCAGCAGCACCGTCTGCTTTTGAGAATTCTGAAAAGCCGTTGAGTGCACCAGAGGCTGCTGCTGCTGCCATAGCAGCAGGAGGAGGCTTCCTGGAAGCTGCAGAAGCAGCTGCAGCTGCTGTGTTGAGTCGGCACGGGTCGAGCGTAACAGCAGGAGAGGGGAAGGGGCCAAGGGGGAGGGATTGGGGGAGCGGATTTGGAGGAGGGGGAGTTGCAATGGGGGAAGCGATGGGTCAAGGCATGGGAGGAGAACGGACAGGAGAATGGATGGTCGAAAGGACAGGTGTAACAGCTGCAGCAGCAGAAGGACCAGCGGTTGGTAACAATGTAACCACCACCTCCCTTCCCTTCTCCTCCTCCTCCGCCCCCACCACCACTCCCATTGCCGCCACCTTTCCTCCTCCCTCTCCCTCCTCCCCCTCCCGCCCCCGGGCCTTCTCCCGGCTGCGATGGCTCCTCCACGCCAACAGCGATGTGGTAACCGGCGCGTTCATGGTAACCGCGTTCTGCTGGAACCTCTCTCTCTCCACCCTCGTGTTCCCGCTCGCGCTCTTCCTGTACGCGCTCGTGTCGAACCCGTCTCCCGGGCCAAGGTTCTGGAGGGGACTGCTGGTTTATTCTGAGGTGCTGATCGCATTGGAGTATTTGTATCAGATCCCAACGCATGATGGGTGTACGAGCTGGGCCGGGGGGAATGGGGCGGGAGGGAGCGGGAAAAAGGGAGGGGGCGGCGGAGGGGGTGGTGGAGCAGCAGGAGGAGGAGGAGGGGGAGGGGGAGGGTTTGCTGGGTGGATAGGGGCTGGGTTCGGTATGGAGGGGTGGGATCGGTTGTTTGCTCTGTTGGGCGTCCGGCCCTACCCGAGCTGGTTCGTGTGGAACGTACTTCCTCTCTTTGCGGTCTACCTCGCTCTGCTTGTTCAGACCGCCATCTGCCAGCGAAACAGCCAGTCTAGGAGTGCTAAGGAGTCTATGGTTTCTGCGGAGGCTAGAAGCTCTGTGAGGCTTGCCAGACCAGAGGAGGAGGAAGAGGATGATGTCAGGTTCGGAAGTGACCGAGGCTCAGATGGTGGCTCGGGCCGAGCTGAACAGGGAGAGGTTGGTGGTTTCTGGGGTTGGTTGAAGGGAGCTGCGAGGGTGGTTGGTCGGCTGGTTGGGGTCAGCCAGGCTGTTCACGTGCACGCTTGCGTGGACTGCGATGCTGACGTGGACGATGCTGACAGGGATCATGATGCTGACGTGGAGGCAGCTTCGCCTCTGCTGGGACACAGCACGCGTGCATCCACGTTCCCGCAGTCATCCTTCCAAACAGCCTCCCACTCGCCTCGTCAAGCCCATGCACCAGCCTTCGCTCTCACATCTCGCAACGGCCACGCAGCAGAGGGCAGCAGCTCGAGACACAAATACCGCAGCAGCAGCAGCAGCAGGAGCAGGAGCAGCAGGAGCAGCGGAAGCAGCTGCAGCAGCAGCAGTAGGAGCAGTGGGAGCAGCAGCAGCAGCAATAGGAGTAGTAGCAGCGGGGAAGGAACGTCTACTCCACCGTTTTCGTTTCAGTGGGTGTGGGGGGGACTGTCGTTTAGATGCGTAGGAGTATGGAGGAGTTTAATTAGGTTCTTAAGAGCTGCTATGGAGGGGTCTGAAGCGCCTCCCTACTTTGTGCAGGTTGTGCTTCGCAGCCCGGACGGGTGGACGGCCAATCAGATGCTTCCAGGTGTCATCGAGGGAGCGTTCAACTTTTTGCTAGCGCATGCTGATGGCGTGGCAGCACCTGCTGATGTGGCAGTGCCTGCTGACGTGGCATTGCCTGCTGATGTGGCAGGAGCTACACAGAGAAGAGGAGGCCACGGTGGAGGTGGTTCAAGAAAGCATGTGCGTTTCGAGGAGGACGAAGCAGCAGTGACTGAAACGCAGCAGCACCACCAGCAGCATTATCAGCAGCAGCAGCAGCAGCAACAGCCGCATTATCAGCAGCAGCAGCAGCAGCAGCAGCAGCAGCAGCAGCAGCAGCAGCAGCAGCAGCAGCAGCAGCAGCAGCAGCAGCAGCAGCAGCAGCAGCAGCAGCAGCAGCAGCAGCAGCAGCAGCAGCAGCAGCAGCAGCAGCAGCAGCAGCAGCAGCAGCAGCAGCAGCAGCAGCAGCAGCAGCAGCAGCAGCAGCAGCAGCAGCAGCAGCAGCAGCAGCAGCAGCAGCAGCAGCAGCAGCAGCAGCAGCAGCAGCAGCAGCAGCAGCAGCAGCAGCAGCAGCAGCAGCAGCAGCAGCAGCAGCAGCAGCAGCAGCAGCAGCAGCAGCAGCAGCAGCAGCAGCAGCAGCAGCAGCAGCAGCAGCAGCAGCAGCAGCAGCAGCAGCAGCAGCAGCAGCAGCAGCAGCAGCAGCAGCAGCAGCAGCAGCAGCAGCAGCAGCAGCAGCAGCAGCAGCAGCAGCAGCAGCAGCAGCAGCAGCAGCAGCAGCAGCAGCAGCAGCAGCAGCAGCAGCAGCAGCAGCAGCAGCAGCAGCAGCAGCAGCAGCAGCAGCAGCAGCAGCAGCAGCAGCAGCAGCAGCAGCAGCAGCAGCAGCAGCAGCAGCAGCAGCAGCAGCAGCAGCAGCAGCAGCAGCAGCAGCAGCAGCAGCAGCAGCAGCAGCAGCAGCAGCAGCAGCAGCAGCAGCAGCAGCAGCAGCAGCAGCAGCAGCAGCAGCAGCAGCAGCAGCAGCAGCAGCAGCAGCAGCAGCAGCAGCAGCAGCAGCAGCAGCAGCAGCAGCAGCAGCAGCAGCAGCAGCAGCAGCAGCAGCAGCAGCAGCAGCAGCAGCAGCAGCAGCAGCAGCAGCAGCAGCAGCAGCAGCAGCAGCAGCAGCAGCAGCAGCCGCATTATCAGCATGAGACTCAACAGTGGTCTCAGCATGAGCAGCTGCAAGAGCAGCATGCACTGGTGTTGCATTCATGCGACTATCCCCTGTGCGTGCGAGTGCACAGCATGCAATGCGCTGGCTCTCTCAACACTTCCTCACTCAACAGCACCGCACTCAACACCTCCGCTTCTGCGGCAGCCAACGCACATGCTGCTTCTTCTGCTGGTGGTGCGCCTGAAAGTGAACCCCACCCTTCCTCCTCTCCTCACGCTCCTCCTCAGTCTCCTACTCACTCGCATCCCCACTCGCAACTCCCTGTTACTGACACTCTAGTAGTGGTCCTTGAGGTAGTTACCACCAGCAACACTGCCACCACCAGTTCCCCTGCTTCTGTCTCTGCCTCCCCTCCTGCCGGATCGGGCTCCCCCTCTGCCTCCTCGACAACCCAGCACGTCTCCTCTCAGCCGCACATGTGGAATGACACGTGGCAGTCCCTCACGCCATCCGCTGACGTGGCAAAGAGGCTCGGGAGGTTCATGAGCGGGGGAAGGCCGGGGAGTGGGGGAGAGGGAGGGGAGGAAGGAGGAGGGGAGGGCAGGGGGGAGGTGGTGAGAGGAGTGGGTGGTGTGGGTGGGCGAGGGAGTAATTTTACAGCTGCTGCTGCTAGTGGCATCCTGGGAAGGGTGTTTGGGTCGCGCCGTGTGCAACTCGCCTCAGTTGTTGCAGGTACAGTGTGTGCTCTCAATCTCAACTCAATAAGCACGCGATTGTCACTCAGTCAGCATTTAATGAGCCGATTATTCAGGCGCCTGAAAAAGTGCCATGTGCAGCAACTCATGCAGTGCTCAATCAGCAATCGTTCAGCACACGATCAGCATTCTCGCCTGCTTCTGCGTGGGCCACTTAACCTTCGCCAGTCCGATCCTTCCAAATTAGTTCTGGTCCGGCCTTCAACCTTCCTCCCAGGAGGTCGCAGGGAGATAGACTGCACCCCCACATCTTCTGCATCGACATCCTCGCTTTCTTCTACGGGGGGCTCTTCTACCAGTCGGCCGTCCATGCAGTGGCCCACTAACAAATGTTACCCTTTCTTCTCCTCTGTTTCTTATTCCCTTCCCATCATCCCAGGAGGCAGAAGGGAGATAGACCTATACCCCTACATCTTCTGTATCGACATACTCGCTTTCTTCTATGTCGGGCTCTTCTACCAGTCGGCCGTGCGAGACAGGTCGCCCTTTGAGGAGGTCATTCACACGGGGGACCAGTTCCCCTCCACCTACGTTGCGGTTCTCATGGTACGTACGATCCGTAGCAGAATGGCCTAGGGGTTTGGACAACGGTATGCCATGTCATGGTAAGTGCTGTTTTTCATACCAAACCCCAAACCCAAATCCCCATCCCCTCATTCCCCCGTTCCCCATCCCCCCTACAAGCAGACGCAATTCTTCCTCATAGTCACCAACCGCATTCTCTACCTGGTCTTCAGCGCACCCCTGCTTCCCCCCTCCCCCCTCTCCACTCCCCACCCCCCCCGTCCCCCATCCCCCCTACAAGCAGACGCAGTTCTTCCTCATAGTCACCAACCGCATCCTCTATCTGGTCTTCTCCGCCCCGCTGCGCATCCTCTACCACCTCACCTCGCTCCTCCTGCACCTCGGCTACCCCATGCGCCTCTTCTGGAACGCCAAGCTCATCGTCTCCCACAACACCATCCCCTCTCCTTCCCTCCCTTCCCCTTCCCTTCCCTCCCGTTCTCTCCCATCTCCTGCACTCCCCTCCCTTTCCCACCTTCTCCTCTCCCTCTCCCTGCCTTCCACTCAACCCCTGTTCCTTTTGCCCCTCCCGCCTTCCCCATCCCCCATCCCCCCCCCCACTATACCCCATCCCCCCTACAAGCAGACGCAGTTCTTCCTCATAGTCACCAACCGCATCCTCTATCTGGTCTTCTCCGCCCCGCTGCGCATCCTCTACCACCTCACCTCACTCCTCCTGCACCTCGGCTACCCCATGCGCCTCTTCTGGAACGCCAACCTCATCGCCTCCCACAACACCATCCGGGCTTACCTCGCCATCAAGTCCATCTCCCTCGCGCTCTCTGCGCTGCAGCTGAAGCACGGTCCGCCAGGGCCGGCGAGCAAGGCGACGCCGTTTCTGACAAGGAGGGCCACGTGGCTGAGGTGGCAGCTGTTCCGGGTTTACCGCATGCTGCCGTTTCTCTACGAGCTGCATCTGATTCTCGACTGGTGGTGCACCAAAACAACTCTGCCTCTCTATGATTGGCTCAAGGTATGATCTTGGACAGATGATAGTGCTGTCAGCGTCGAGGCAGTTGTTCCGGGTTTACTGTATGCTGCTGTTTCTCTACGAGCTGCATCTGATTCTCGACTGGTGGTGCACCAAAACGACTCTTCCTCTCTACGACTGGCTCAAGGTACGCTGCTCGCTAGCAACGCTGTACTGTGACTGGGCATGCTGTTAGCAATGCAATGCTGTGCTTGCGGAGATAGCTAACACAACAAGAGCTTGACTACAAGAAAGGCATAAGGTGTTGGGTGATCTCTGCGTTCCTTAGTTGTTTTGATGGGGAATTTTGGCAAGAGTTTCACTAGCAAAGATTGACAACAATGGTCCATAATACAAAGCAACAATGGATTACACCAGATGCTAGCAAGCATGCAGGCCGACTGCCAGCGCAGCACGGTCGACCGCATTCCAGCACTGCAAGGTCGATTGCGCTCCAGCAGGGCAAAGTCGCGGTCTGCCAACGCTGCAAGTCGACAGCGTGCCAATGCTGTAGCAAAGCGGCTGAACAGCGTTGCATTTGCATGACAGCAATGCACCTGCTTCGCAGGTGCTCGCAGCTGATTGGCGTGCTGTGCCTCGCAGACGCCAAGTTGACCACGTGCCCACGACTGCACCTGATCCTCCATGTCGACCTCGGGATACCACACCGAGGTCGGCTTCGCAAGAATCTTCTGAGCGACTCTCGTTCACCCTGCAGTGCCCATTGCCCGGGTAAGTGAGTCGACCGGGCAACCAGGTTGACGCCACCACGTCAGCGTCCAGGCACCCAGGTCGGCGTCCAGGCGCCCAGGTCAGCGTCAAGGCGCCCAAGTCGGCGTCGAGACGCCCAGGTAGGCGTCCCCATCCTCCCAAGACGACGACTGCTTTGTCGACCCCGGTTGAAGTCGGCCACCGGCGCCCGGCGTCGGTGGCTTCGCAGTGGCCCTCGTGCAGGTCGATCAAGTTGTCGACCTGCGCGCCCAAGTCGGTGTCTGCAGAAGATCGGCTGCACCTCCCGTACACTCGACCACGACATCGGCTCCGCCCAAGCGAGGACGGGGCCAACACACAACTCCCGTTGACAGTGCTCTTAGCGCTGCAGCTCAAGCACGGCCCAGCCGGGGCCTACGAGCAAGGCGACGCCGTTTCTGACCAGGAGGGCCACGTGGCTGAGCTGGCAGCTGTTCCGGGTTTACCGCATGCTGCCGTTTCTCTACAAGCTGCATCTGATTCGCGACTGGTGGTGCACCAAAACGACTTTACCTCTGTACGACTGGCTCGAGGTATGCTACTGCTAGCCTGCTAGGGAGTGATGCATGCTATGCTGTTAGCAATGCAACGCTGTGCTCTCAGCTCTGCAGCTCATGCACGGGCTGGCCGGCCCGGCGAGCAAGGCCACGCCGTTTCTTCTAAGAGCTGCATCTCATTCCCCTGCTTCTTGACTGGTGGTGCACCAAAACCTCTCTGCCTCTTTGCGACTGGCTCAAGGTACGATGCCAACATCAAAAGCCTGTGCCTTGCCCTGTCTGATTGCTAACTCTCTCCTGTCATCTCGAGGCCTCCACTCCTGACTCTACACCTCTACGCCTGCCCTCATCCTTCTGCTTCTCCCTCCTCCTTCCTTCCTCCACTCCCCCCCAACAGTTGGGAGCAAATATACGCCAGTCTCTACCTTGTTACCTGCGATGACTCCTCTTGTTGCCCTGCACCTTGCACTCCCACTCTCCTTTCCCCTCCTCCTTCCATACAGCTGGAAGACATATACGCTGGTTTCTACCTCGTCACTTGCGATCGCAAGATAGCGCGGGCGGGGCACAGGCGACAACACACCCCTGCGCCTTCTCTCCCCATGTCTCTGCCTGTCTGTCACCACTCTCCTCCCCTCCTCATTCTCACAGCTAGAGGATATATACGACAGTCTCTACCTTGTCACCTGCAATCGCAAGATATAAGGCAGCAGGAGCAAGGCTATGCCAGACTGCCTTTTGTGCCCTGCCTACATTGCTCTATCTGTCTTCCACCATCTCCACCCCCCAACAGCTAGAGGACATCTACGCCAGTCTCTACCTCGTCACCTGCGATCGCAAGATAGCGCGTGCCGGGCACAAGCCGGGGCAGCCGCAGGGGTGGGGGGTGAAGCTCATGGGAGGGGCCTTCTTCTTCCTCGCTTTAGTCACAGTCATCTGGGCGCCAATGCTGGTGAGTCTCGTTATTGTCACGTCACAACTGGGAGTGATGTTCCCTGCTCCTCCCTCGCCGTAGTCACAGCCATCTGGGTGCCAATGCTGGGGCGTCTCGTTATTGTCACCTCTTTAGTCACTTTTCGTATATCTGTGATGATATTGCTTCTCACTCTATAGGCACAGCCATCTGGGCGCCGATGCTGGTCATTGTTGTTTTAGTCCCATGCTGTTACAGTCACACACACGGCGATTTTCTCAAGTCACAGTTGATACGGGAGTCGCATTCTTCTTCCTCGCTATAGTCACAATCATCTGAGCGCCCATGCTGGTGAGTCATGGTATAGTCACACGGCTATTATCACTAGTTGACAGAGCGATTGATGCATCACTATAATCACAAGCCATCTGAGTTGACTTTTGAGAGGCAAAGGCAATTGATGCGCCGCTATAATCACAGGCCATCTGAGCTCCCATGCTGGGGCGTCCGGTTACTGTCCCGTGCTGTTATTGTGACGTCTGGAGTAGTCACACTCTGTACCCCCTTTTTGTTGAGGCGCCTTCAAAAGCGCCTTTAAAAGCGCCTCAAAAGTGCCTCATAAGTAGCCTTAAAAGATGTAGCCGCAGTTAGGGATGAGCAAGGGGCGAACACGAACATGTTCGTGTTCGCCCCTACACGAACACATCCATTTGCCGAACCGAACACTGTTCGGTTCGGCGAACACTTTAAGCAAAAACAGGTGTTCGCCGTTCGCCTGTGAAGGCGTGTTCGGGCGAACCTCGAACATGTTCGTGTTCGTCGCGGGGCAAATTGCAGCAGCGGCCCGAACACGAACGTGTTCGAGGCGAACCTCGAACACTGTTCGGCGAACACTTTAAGCAAAAAAAACAAACCTGTTCGGTTCGCCTCGAACATGTTCGAGGCGAACCGAACAGGTGTTCGTATCTGTGCTCATCCCTAGCCGCAGTTGACAACAATACTGCTTACACACTCTGTACCCCCTCTGTCCTCCCCTCTCCTTCACCCCCTCCGCAGATCTACAGACTACATCAGCGGCAGCCCTGCCAATACCCCAATCTGGTGACAGAAGTGCGAGTCAGCCTGGTTCTTCAGACCTTCTCCGGCTCCTTCCCCATCTTTGAAGGAGGGCAGGAGCGCCTGCTGCTAGACCCTCTGCTTAACCTTCCTTCTCGCTTCCCCTTTCCCCCCTCTCTTTCGCCCCCTTTCCTTTTCGCCAACTACCCCAATCTAGTGACAGATGTGCGAGTGAACCTGCTCTAGCTCCTTCCATATCTCTTCCACACCCCCCCTCCTTGTCTGCGCAGATCTACAGCAGCGGCAACCCCGCCAACTACCCCAATCTGGTGACAGACGTGCGAGTCAACCTGGTCCTGCAGACCTGCTCCGGCTCCTTCCCCATCTTTGAGGGCGGGCAAGAGCGCCTGCTGCTGGACCCGCTTCTCAACCCAGGGCCCGCAACCCCCTTCCAGCTCACGGGTGTGGATTCACAGCAGCTGCAGGAGATGCGTTTCCTGGAAGGTTCCTTTACGGATGTTGCAGAGGAAGGTTCCTTTGCTGGCCGTGAGAAGGAAGGTTTGGAGGATGCTAAGGAAGGTTCGCGGGAAGTTGCTAGGGATGCAGTGGAAGGTTCCTGGAACCAGGGTTCCTACAGGGATGAAAGTCGTCGGACACTCACTGAAACTGAATACTCTGGTAGCGGACCGCCTTATACTGGTAGCGGAACTTCTTATACCCCACAGCCTGGGCCTGTGCTTGTACCCTTTACAATCATGCCAGGTGCATTGGACCACGGTTTGGCCGCTGACAGCAATTCTGATGTTCAGTTACCACCAGCAACCACACAGTCTCCCCCTCTTTCCCCCGCCTCTCCGCCCCTCCCTCCGCCCTCTCCTCCCCTCGCTCCTCCCTCTCCCCCACCCCCACCTCGAATCCCCTCCTGGAACGTCTCAGACGATCCTGTACTGAATTCCACGGGGTATTTACCCGTCGATATGCGCCTGGTGTGCGTTTACCCCGACTCCCTCTCCCTCTTTCAGCTGACACCCCCTGCTGAGAGCCGCCTTAGAGAAGCACTTAGAAGATCGGCCACAGGAGGGGGAGGCGGCAGAAGCACGAGGCGAAGGGTAGGCGGAAAGTATAGACTGAGTGGAGGGAGTATAAGAGATCTGTCAGGAGCATCACACCTAGCAGTATCCTTCCCGTATCACCCAATTCAACCCTCACTCTCTTCCATCCAACCAGCCTCCTCCCGTCGCTCCCTCCAAGCCTCATCCCGAGCTTCCTCCCAAGCCTTCTCCCGAGCCTCTCTCTCTGGTCTGCCGGACCCATGTGCGCCGAGCCTGATCGTCCAATGGTGGTTCACGCGCCCCCGCCCCATCCGAAGGGAAGTGGCATCATGGGAGGAGGTCTATTCCGGCCTGCCCCCCGCGCTGCTGGCTGATGGGTTGCTGGGGATACTGGAGGGGAGGAAGGGACCTGCTGCTGGTGGTGGAGGAGCTATGGGGTTGCTACTTCCGGAGTTATATCCGGTCTACTGGAAGCTTCCTGGGTTCGGCAAGGCGAGAGAGCTGGAAGCTTCCAAGGTAAGGCTAAGGCTGACTCTAAGCGTGTGTGTCTGGGGGCATTCACTGGTGGTGGGTGCTGTAATGTGGTATTCTCCCTCCTGACTCCCTCTACCCGTCGTCCTTTTCCCCCCGTGCGCCCTGACTCACAGGTTCGATCCGCCTGCTGCCTACAACTGCAGGATGACTCCTCTAGCAGCAGCAGCAGCAGCAGCAGCAGCAGCAGCAGCAGCAGCAGCAGCAGCAGCAGCAGCAGCAGCAGCAGCAGCAGCAGCAGCAGCAGCAGCAGCAGCAGCAGCAGCAGCAGCAGCAGCAGCAGCAGCAGCAGCAGCAGCAGCAGCAGCAGCAGCAGCAGCAGCAGCAGCAGCAGCAGCAGCAACAGCGGCGGCGGCGGCAGCAGTGGCAGTGGTAACAGTCGTTGGTGGGTGCTGCATTGTGCTCCTCACCCTCCTGACTCCACCGGTACTCTCGGTGTGTGTTCTTACAACACATCGCAAAGTGCCACCCTTTCCCGTGCCGGCATTGGCTGGGGCAGCAGCAGCAGCAGCGGCGGCGGCGGCGGCAGCAGCAGCAGCAGCAGCAGCAGCAGGAGCGTATGGGACAGTGTCCAATGGGGCAGGAGAAGGGGGTTAGATTTAGTGGAGGCACGAGGAGAAGGAAAGGGTGGTGCAGGGAGGGAGAGGAGGCTGGAGGAGAGTGAGGGTGTGAGGGCGTTGGAGGCATGTGGAGAAGCATCAGGGCCTGCTGCTATCACTGTTTCAGAAGAAGTGCCTGGTAGGTGTCGTGTCTGGTGGGTTAGTGCTGTGCTGCACGCTTGCTTGGTGGGTGGGTGGTTATTAACCAGATGGGATAGGCGGGCAGTAAAGGGTGTGAGGGCGTTGGAGGCGTGTGGAGAGGCATCAGGGCCTGCTGCCATTACCATGTCTGAGGAAGTTCCTGGTATGTTCCTGGAGTGTTAGGGGTGGCGATGCAAACCTTCAGCATCACGGGACTGTACGTCACGTTTGTGCTCGCGCTCCTTCCCTCTTCCTCTTATTCCATCTCCCCTCACCCATTCAAATGTTTGGGGAAGCAATGCAAACGTTGAGGGAAACCAATCACAGGGCTGTGTGTCACGTTCATGCCTTCCTTTGCTTCTTCCCTCTCCACTTCCTCCCTCCGCCCATCTTCCACTCAACTCACATCTACCCTAACATGCAGCCGGGGTGCTAGGGGAGGCGATGCAGGCCTTGAGCATCACGGTGCCGTACATCACGTTCATGCTGCCCTTGAGCTGACTCATTTGCTTCTTCCCTCTCCCCTTTCCCCCTCCCGCTGTCTCCCATTCAACCCTCCTCTTATCCCAACACAGCCGGGGTGCTAGGGGAGGCGATGCAGACATTCAGCATCACGGGCCTCTACGTCACATTCGTGCTCGCTCTGGGGCGACTCATTCGCTCACAGAGTTCTGATCTTCGCCTCAAGATACCCTACGAGAACCTGCCCTCCTGTGAAAGGCAAGTACTTCTCTCATGCGCCTTTGAAATAGGCACCTCAGAATTGTCAGGCGCCTTAGGCACCTCAGAGCCTTAAGAATCAGAGCTCTGGACTTCGCCTCAAAATACCCTACGAGTATCTTCCCTTCTGCGAAAGGCAAGTCCTTTGTAGGCACCATTGGAATAGGCACTCTAGAACCCTCAGGAACTGAGCTCTGACCTTCGCCCCAAGATTCCCTATGAGAAACTGCCCTACTGCAGGCAACTCTTATTTAAACCTCTGAAATAGGCAGGCAGAATTTGCAGGCACCCTAGGAACCTCAGAAAAATAGTTCTGCTCTTTGCCTCAATAGGTTCCGCTAAACTCTACGGTCGTGGAAATCTAGTGGATATCTCTAGTCACAGGTAGAGGAAGTGAGTGAACATCATTTGGACAAGCCACATCTTTGGCTCACCGTTTCTCATTCCAGATGGGCCTTTCTTCCCTTTTATGTTTCTTTCCCTTTTCCGTTGCTCTGATTGTTTCTTTTTGAACAACATATTTTCTTTCCATATCCCCATCCGTGTCTGTGCCGATACGTGTGTCTATACTCCCAACAACGAACAGGCTCATGGCTATATGTGAAGATTTATACGCAGCACGAGCAGAGGGGGACCTGGAGCTGGAAGAAGGGCTTTATTGGACTTTAATTAAAATATATCGCTCACCGCATGTGCTTCTTGAATACACCAAGGGTGACAAAGCTGATTGACCGAATATGAAAATTTCCAAGTGAGCGTTTTTCTACACATGCATTCTTTCCATTTCCATGGTATTCATTCAGTGCGAGTAGCTTTGGACTTCCGTTATTCAGCACCGCATGCATGAAATGAGTAATGACAGTGTCATACGACTAAAACATGCATAAACCTAAATCTACACAATATGACATGAGAACAAGCAGTAAGAAATGCAAGCCACCTAGAATCAGGACGAAGCTGTATGTTGCTGACAACCGGTGATATTCTGGCCATTTTTGAGGTGGGTGAGCTGGTCGGTTTCGGTGGTGAAGACTCTTGAAGGTTGGGGGTAGTTTTGAGTTTGCGTACAGTTCCAGGGGGTATGTTTGAGACAATGTACACTGAAGTGTGTATTGTGAAGTCCTTCTCTTGTACTCCATTTTCTAGCCGAATTTGTAAGCTGTATTGACCTTGGCTTGTTTTTGTTGTTGTCTCCTTTCTCTCTCGGGCTGCTGAATCTGCTTTTCCTCCCTGCTTTTCACCTTTGGATGCATTTCGTTACAGTTCTGTACAGATCATATGCCACACGGCCATCCCGCGTTGATGAGGTGTGACTTCTGGTGGGCTTGTTCAGTGGTCTGGTCACCATCCCAGTTGCTGTATAGACAGACAGCTAGACACCTCTGTTTGATACATTCCCGAGTTTCTTTTAGATTGTTGGGCTACAAAACATTTAATTTTCTATGAATTGTCTTCTGCAAAGTTGAGACCGCGTATCCTTCTACAACTACTCCAAAGCCCGATGTTTAGAAAATCCGAACTTCCGTTCCAGCATGATTGGTGCATCGATTACGGCGTGTTGCAATTCGCGGTGCACTGCATCGGCTCGGCTCGTGGCACGGATTAAAACTTACAGGAAGGCTCCAGGAACGCAATAGGCGTAAAAATTTTACAGAAACTCGCAGAAAAAAAGCATTACTTAACAAAACTTAGGTAAATAACTATTTGAATCACTATCTTGAAACTTTTCTTTCCCGAATCAGTGCCCGTGTTTGGCCTCCCGCCTGCCTGGAGCCTTCCAAACGTCCCAAGCCGATGCAGTGCACCGGCAATTGCAACACGCCGTCGAAACAGTTGAGATGCCCCTGAATTTACCAGGTATACGTGCACTCATTCGAAGGAAGTCACCCAACCGAACAGACAGCAATAAGTATCGCCCGAAAAACGCAAGACGACAAACGATGTGACTGCCAGTTGACGACCTGACGAATCTTGCGAGCCACCACCACCACACACCACCACCACCATCACCACCACCAAAGTTCAAGTTCTGATGAGCTCGGAGCTGCTGCCAGTTCTGAGTTTTGCAATTACTACTCCGATTTCGCAGTCTACAGATATTTCTAGTACTAGTACTAGTACTGCGACTAGCAATAATTTCGTTGAACGCCCAACTGCCACTCATCGCCGAAATGGCTAATACATCCCTCCGCGGCACAGGGGGCGCCGCCGTTGACCAGAAGCGGGAAATTGTGAAGTCTGAAGCATCGCCGGCGAGTTCGGAGGTTGCTGGAGTGTGCGAGAAAACGTCCACGAAATGCGTCAAGATTAGACCGCTTCGGGACGTCCTTCGAGACGCAAGCATATTCGCCGCTGTTACAACTACGAGTAGCACGAGTACCAGCTCAGCCGCGCAGAAACGACCGCCGCCCAGGCGACTCCGAGTCGCCGGCCGCGGAAGAAATGTATCTTCGCCACCGCATCGCTTATCCGCCGTTGCTAAACAGCCGGCGCACGGCGGCGGAGGCGCGAAATGGCGGCAGCACCCAACGGAGGCAAAGGGCAACTTTAACGATCCTGGAAATGGGCGGAGACCTAGATCGTCAGTGGCTGAAGTAGGGCAATCCAACGGCAGAAATGTAGCGGGATCCCAGGGCCTTCAACCTGAAGCAGATGACAAGGATTCCGACTTGAAGCCCATGCAAGTCTTTGATGCATCTTCGGACGACGACCTGATTGACCTGGTTGACTCCGACGAGATCTCGTTGCAAGGCAGTGATTATCCGATGATGAGTCATGGTCAGCATGGTCAGCCGTGTCAACGACGTCAACGGAAGGGCAATCTGAAGGCCTTACTAGCAACCAAACCGCCGCCTGTGAAGCAGCAGGTAATATTTGAGAGCTGATTCTTTTCTGGTGCCAGAATCATGTTTGCCACAGCTTGTTCTTTGCTTCCGCCTAACGCAACACACCAGTAGTACTATCCACTAGTAGACTCAAGCGGCCTAGGGCACCGCACTAGTGATACTGGTATTACTTGTCCGTTCCCATGGAAATACTACTATTTTTCTGCACCTTCCTCCTTTCTTTTTCCCCCTCGCCCCTTTCCTTTGTCCGCTTTTCTTCCTCGCCCCACCCTGTTCACTCTTCTTCCCTATCGCGGCTTCCTAGATTTATTTCATGATCTATTTCTAGAAAGTTAGGTCTTTGTTTTGCGCGCCTGATTCCAGCATGGCGGCACTCTTTGCATCGCCACCTACTTATCCATCTTGAACCAGCTCAATCATCCTACACTGGTGTTCATACCTTCTCCCCTTTGTCCCCTGCTTCCTGAAGGATCATCCAATCCTTCACCCATTCATTTCAACACCTCTCGTTCGCGCCCATGCCATCCTCCCAACATTCCGAGGGGATCTCTCCTGTTCTTTTTTCCCAGCTTCGGTAAAGCGGTGGGATTGAGACGCATTAAGAACCTGTTCATTTCCCTCCTGCCATCCTTTTTCCTGTCCCCTGTGCAGTTGTAACCTGGCACGTGAGGCGGAGAGTATCATCGAGTCTCTCACAAACCTGGTTTTTTTTTTTTTTTTTTTTCTTGTGACGACTTCATCTCTGTCCCCTGTACCGGCGTTACCTGGCAGGTGGAGCAAATAATATATCATAGTCAGCTCAAATACCTTATTTTTTCAGAGACATCTTGATCTCTGTTCCCTTGGCCAATTCTTGCTGTTTCTAGTCAGCTCAAGAAACTGTTTTTTCTTTCCTGCCATCTTGATCCCTGTCCCCTGTGCCAGACTGGCAGGTGAAGCTGAGAGTATTTCGAGTCAGCTCAAAAACCTTTTTTTCTTCTTTCCTGACCTCCTGATTTCTGTCGCAAGTGCCATTACCCGGCAGGTGAAACAGAGTAATTTTCAGTCATCTCAAAAAACTGTTTCTCTTTCCTAAAATACTGTTTTCTGTCCCCTGTGCCGTTACCTGGCAGTTGAAGCGGAAAGGGAGCCAGGGCGAAGTTCAGATACGGCCGCAAGAAGTCGCAAAGGCAAAGGAGCAACGAGTCAGCAAAGATTGGGACAATGAGTGGAGCAACCGCAATGGCATGCGCGCTCAGAATGGCACGGAAACTGACAGAAAGAAGGTGCAAGCATTCTTCAAGACTGGTGCAGACAGCAACAAAAGGCAGCGGTTAGGTCAGGCTAGGTGTGGAAAGGAGGAGGAGAGGGGGGAGGAGGAGGAGAAGGAGTGCAAGTCACAGCAGCAAGACATTATGGTTGTAGGGCTGAAGGGCGAGGACGTTCAGAGGGCGGAAAGCAGCGAAGAATCTCTTTCAGAGCTGGAGAGGAGGAGAGATGTGGAGTTGGGCGAGCCCGAAGTGTGCTCCAGCTATCAAAATGACTTGGTGCCGTCTCCATGTGGGTTGAAACCCTCTGCAAGCAGCTTGAGTGGTGAATTGAAGGGCAGTGGTGGGCCTATAGAGTGTGTGGGGAGGACGAGCAGCAGCGGTGGCAGTGGCAGTGGTGGTGACAGTGGCATTGGCGGTAGCAGTGGCAGTGGTGGTGGCAGTGATGGTGGTGGTGGCAGTGGTAGTGGTGGTGGCAGTGGCAGCGGTGGTGGCAGTGGTAGTGGTGGTGGCAGTGGCAGTGGTGGTGGCAGTGGCAGTGGTGGTGGCAGTGACGGTGGTGGTGGTAGTGGTGGCACTGGTAGCGATGGCACCGGCGGTGTTGGTGGCAACTGCACCAGGATCACAGTGAGTTTCCCAGACACTATGCCAAGCGAATTTCATGCAGCCTTGGATATGGACCAACCCTGCGACACAGACCAAGGGGCTGTTGGGAAGACGGGAGAAGTAGATGGAGCAATGAAGAATGTGGATCAGGAAGGAGACGATGGGGCCAGAGAGAGGGAAACGGATGGAGCAGGGGAGAGTAGAGGGGATGGGGCAGGAGAGGCAGAAGGGGATGGTGCAGGTGAGAGTGGAGGGGATCTGGAAGGAGAGGCGAAAGAGGGTGGCGCAGAGGGGAGCGGGGGTTGTAAGCAGGCTGCAGGTGCGACCAGTGCTGTCAATCAGAATGCGAATCAGGTAAAAATGGATGGATGCAAGATGGTTGTCGAGACAGCAGGAGAGGAGGTTAATGGTGGGAGTAACACTAGTGATTATCACCTTGTCTGTATCTCTGGGGAAGTGGGTACTGGACATACTGGAAACGGGATGAAGTGGGCCAGAACAGGGAATGAGCAAGTGGGGTTGGAGAGTGCCGTTGTGCCATCCTTTGACCTCAACTGTATGCCTCCTGGGAGTTGTGGTGATGTCGACAGTTATGGTGATGGGTACGGTGGTGGTGGTGATGGTGATGGTGGTGGTGTTGGTGGTGATGATAGCTGCTTTGGCTTGCATGAGGACTTGGAAGCACAGAAACTGGTCCAGAAGCAGCCACAGCCGCAGCAGCAGCAGCAGCAGCAGCAGCAGCAGCAGCAGCAGCAGCAGCAGCAGCAGCAGCAGCAGCAGCAGCAGCAGCAGCAGCAGCAGCAGCAGCAGCAGCAGCAGCAGCAGCAGCAGCAGCAGCAGCAGCAGCAGCCGCAGCAGGCGGTGAATGGTGACACCAGTGAACAAGTGATATCAGCAGACCTGCTCTCAAACCAAAAGCCCTTGGGTTTGCCCTCTCTTCAGCACCTTGAGTCTGTACATATCAAGAAGCAGATCCTCCAGCAGCCCCACCAGCAGCACCACCAGCAGCCCCACCAGCAGTCCCACCAGCAGCCCCACCAGCAGCCCCACCAGCAGTCCAACCAGCAGCCCTGGCACCAACCGCACCAGCAGCACGACCAGCAACCCCACCAGCTTCCCCACCAGCAGCAGCCCTGGCACCAACCCTATGAGCAGGTTCACCAACGATTTTCCCAACTACGTACCCATCATCACCACCACCAGCACCACCAGGATCCCCAGCAGCAGCCCTGCCACCAACCCTATCAGCAGACGTTTCAAGACCCTCGCTTTTCATCCCACCACCGATTTCGTCACCTGCAGAGCCCACAGCTGCACCATCAGCAACCCCACCAACAACCCAACCAGCAGCCCCACAATCAACACCACCAAGTGCCCCACCATCACCCTAAACCCCCCGTCCCCATTGCTCCCAACGCGCACACCATGCTAAATCTCACTGATCCGTATTGTCATGTAGTGCCTGCTACATCTGCTGAGGTTATCTTTCCCTCCCTGAGCCCAAGCGACGTTAGCAGCACCTGCTGCCTCCCTGTTTGAAGCGTATTTGATCATTCAATCCGTTTTGGTGTGAGATGCAACAGAACTTCGAACGCATTTCAGGTGAAATTGAATGCGCACTATCCTTACTTCTATTCTGTAGGCACGATGCACTGAGACGCCGTATGCAAACCCTATTGTACATATCGATTTATTTGACATGCTTAGTGTGCCTCGTGCATTATTATTTTAGTGCCAGTTGATAGATTCTGCATATATGCTACCAACTTTAAAGACCAAACATGAGCATTTGAGAAGCGGGTAAGAGCAGGTTGTGTTGCGGGTAGATGTGGGGGGTGCATGTTATATACATTAAAAAAAAAATCCTTCTTTGGGCCACAGTTCTGTTTGAATAGTGTGATGGATTCCCTTGGCACATCAGGAATTGAGTTACATTACATGTCTACTCTGAAATAACATTGAGGTGTTTTCTGCATAGTGTGTGTGTGTGTGTGTGTGTGTGTGTGTGTGTGTGTGTGTGTGTGTGTGTGTGTGCTGGGGCGTATGCGTGCAGCAACGCGTGTGGGACCTCAATACCTCGTCTCAGGACTCATGCTTTTGGCACCTCAGAAACTGCTTTTGACGAGCATTTGGAAACGGTTTGAGGTGCCTTGAACCTTCCTTCCCTCTCTCCCCTCTCCCCCTCTCTCGTCTCCATTTCCCAACTCCCCCCACTTCTCATCAGATGAGTGGGCGAGCAGGGCGGCGAGGTAAGGACAGCAAAGAAATTGTCATCGTGATGGTCAATGAGGAGGTAAGAACAGTGCCCTATGTGATCACCATGCACATCACATTACACATCACACCACATCACACTACATGGTATGGGCACGTATTGGCTACTTGGAATCATGTCACCTCAAAAAGTCTCAAAAGCACATGCTGGTTCACCAAATCCCATGATTCGTTTCAGGATATTTTCAGGATGAAATAACGAATGATCTTCCATTTTGCAGCCTCAGCCAACCTGACTACTCCCATTCTCACCCTATTCTCAGATGACAATGGAAGCATGCAAGGAGATGATGCTGAGGAGGCCTGCCCCTGTAGAGAGCTCCTTCCGCCTGACCTACTAGCAGGTCATCAGGTACATGAGGCAGCCCACAAGCTCTGGATACGGGCCACTCGGCTCTACGGACTCATCCGAAAGCAGAGCTGAGAGCGAGTGACCGGTAGGCAGAGGAGTGGACTGTGGCAAGGAGTACTGGAAGTCGAAGCGCTGAAGGACCTGCTGCACCATGTGTGACTGAGTCAAGGTAATGGTGCGCCGTGCTCTGTCGCGGGTGATCTGCAAGCCAAGGTAGCTGCACAGCTCAACCAGGTCTGTGCATGTGTGTCTCTTCTGCAGCTCCGACTTCACGTGGGCCAGTCCAGCAGTGTCAGCAGTGGCAAAGACCAAGTCGTTGACGTACACGAGGATGTAGAACGGCGGCAGCGAAATGTCGGTGCGTAGAAACAGCGACGGGTCAACAGTAGAAGGAGCAAACCCAAGAGCCGCAAGCGTCGTCCTCAGTGTGTCGTGCCACTTGCGAGGCGCCTGGCGGAGACCGTAGACTGGCCGGCGGAGGCTCCACTGGGTACCTACAGGAAACGACCCAGTGAAGCCAGGTGGGCGGCGCAGCCAGATCTCCTCGTGCAGGCTGCCCTGTAGGAAAGCAGTGCTGAAGTCAAGAGAGTGAAGACCGTAGTCACGCTGAGCGGCGACGTGCAGCAGAACCCGAAGAGTGGTCATATTTGGGGTAGGGGAGAAGGTCTGGAAGAAGTCAACTCCCTGTCGCTGACTGAAGCCTCGTGCAACGTAACGCGCCTTGAAGACAGGCGGAGAACCCGGCGACCGCTTCACCCTGAAAATCCACATGCCACGGACGATGTTCGCCCCAGGTGGGGGAACTGCGTCGACGTAAGTGCCTGTGGACTTCCAGGATGCCATCTCTGCGTCCATGGCTGACTGCCACTGAGAGGAGTAGGCACTCTCTTTCGCCTCTGCGTAAGAGCGCGGGGTCGGGATGTCTGGTGCATCCGGGTCTCCCTCAGGGGCAATCAGCATGGACACGAGATGAGGTACAGCAACTGCAAAACTTTCAAAGTCCTCCTGCCTGTCCTCAAGGACGTCCGTGCCAAGAGCACACTCACCCCCGACGGATGGAGGACAGACAGAATCAGACTCAGCAACAAGACTAGCGGCGTAGTCTACACGACAGGCGGCAGCAAAGCCAACCAGCTCAGCAACAAGAGCAGACACAGCAGTAGACGCAAACGAAGGGTCAGTGATAACAGTAGCCAGGAGACGCGTGACAGTAGGACTAGCAGCACGAAGGGAGTCAGACTCTGGTTCCGGACCGTCAGCAAGGGAGGATGCAAGAGGAGACAGCAGAGGGACACGCAGTGGAACAGAGGAAGGACGAAGTGCCATCTGGTGCGTGCCGGAAACAGGAGGAGGACGCTGACGCGGAACACGATGACCAGTGCGGAACACTTAATGGGAGTGGAGTGTTAGCCCCGGCCTCGCTTGGGCAACGCCGACGACTTGGTCGGGTGTACGGGAGTAGCAGCCAACCCTTCACAGTGGGAAAGCTGCTCGACAGGCTTTGTTGAGTTTCAGGGGACCGCTGTGGTGTTGCTGTCGACCAGGGAGCTCGACAGCTGCAACTGATTGGCCTGGGCAACAGGTGGGCCGTTGACCAGGAGGGGCAGTTCGACCGGAAGGTCGACGGAGCGGTCCGTCGACCTGCAGCTCGACCGGGAGCAGTCTCTCGACCTGCAGCTCGACCAGGAGCAGTCTCTCGACCTGTCGGAAAACTCATCATCTGTAGCATCCCATGGCTTGCCTTCTCCTTCCTGCACTCACCCTCCCTCCCTTCTTCTTCCAAACTCTCTTCCTGTGATACCTTACCTGCTCTGCCTCAGCCACTACCTGCCCCCTCCAGAGATCATGCTCGGGTCTCCCGTGCACGTGTCACTGGACACTCTTGCCGAGGCCGGGTGCTTCTCACCACTGCAGCATCCGTCAGGTGGTTCCCCGTCTACACTCTTCTCTGATTCCTTCGCACCAGCACTCTTGGACCCCTCAGGTCCTGCGTCTCCCTTCTCTGTGTGTCCAGTGCCACTTCCAGCGTGGCCCTTTCTGCAGGTATGCTCCCTGTCCCATGTCACCCAGTTCTCAGCCGCTCTCATTGCTGCTGGTTCTGTCAGCACCTATGTTGCTGGCTCCATCGACTCATCTTCCCATGTCTCTCCCTTAATCCCCTTTACTGTCTTCATGGCCTCTTGTTCTTTCTTACTCATCGCGACTCCCACTGTATCCTCCAGTCCTTCTCCTGCTGTCAGGCACTCCCATGCCCCCTCTTCCTTGCTCTCCCTCTCTGCCTCTTCCTGCTTCTTGGCCGGGTCCCTCACTGGACCTTCCCATCCAGCTATCCATAGGTCACCTTGCCCCTGGTTACATGCCACCTCTGCTGTTATGCTCCTCACATCCGCCTCGGGTCCTCTCATGGCTTCTTTTCCCATTTCTTCCCCCTTCAGCTCTAGATGTTCTTCCCGCAGCTTCCTCACTTGCTGCTCCGCCATCCCACTTTCCTGCGCTTGCTTCTCTGCCTTTAGTACACGTGCCCGTCCCCCCACCTTCTCGTCTTTTCCTTCTGCTTCTGCGGCTGCTGGTGCGCATGCCCATGCCCCCTTTTTCTTGGCTTTCCCTTCTGCTACCGCTGATGCCACTACACGCGCATGTGCCCTCACCTTCGCTTCTTCCCCTTCCTCTTCTGCTGCTGCTGCTACACACGCCTGTGCCCCCACCTTCTCTTCCTCCCCTTCCTCTTCCGCTGCTGCCACCACACATGCCCGTGCCTCCACCCCTTCATCCACCACTTCCGCTTCCGCTGCTGTTGGTACACATGCTCTTGCCTCAACCTGCTCATCCGTTTCCTCTGCTTCCGCTGTTGCTGGTACACACGCTCCTGCCCCCACCTTCTCGTCCTTCTCCTCTACTTCCGCTGCTGCTGGCGTTACTAACATGCACGCCCATGCCCCTACCTTACTCACTTGCTCCCTTCGCACGTCCCTGCCCCCACTACGCAGCCGCATGTCCGCATGGCCACGCAGCGCCTCACAGGAGCGTTCTGGCTCCTGCTCCTCTTCCTCCTCCTCGTACAACCCCGCTTGCCCCTGAGTTCTTTCTCCCAGCGCTTGCAGTTGGGCTCGTAACTGTTTGATCTGTTCCTCAATCTCCTCTGGTGATCTCCCTGCCTCCCTTACTTTCTCATAGCAGTTCCTTGCCTGATGCCCCTTTTTCCCGCATTTCTCACTGCTCGGTACATCTGGGCAGTCCCTTCGGCGGTGCCCACGCTTTCCGCACACATCACAGTTCTTGCAATCCCTCCTGATATGCCCCTCCTACCCGCACCTGTGGCACGTCCGTGTTTCTTCTTGCCTCTCCTACCACTGCTCCTCCCCACCCTCGTCCTCGGTTATCATCGCTGCAGCCCACCTGGGCCGCCCTTTCTCTGACACCTTCGGCAGGTACGCCTCGTACCGCCTCTGCGCTAGCTCCACTTTCTCCGCCAGTTCAAAAACCTCCTCTAGCGTTGCTTCAGCTCCTAACTCATAAACTCTCATTCTCAGTCCTCCACTCAGTCCTTCATCTAAACCTCCCAAAAACTTGCTAATCAACATACTGCTGTCCGTGCATACCACGTCCTCTGCTAGATTAGTGAGCCTCCCAAAGTATGTGAGTAGTGATTCCGCCTCACCCCGCCTAAACTCCTGAAACTCTCGGATACGGTCGGCTGTGTGGCCCGGGAACTGTTTTCTCAGTCGCTCAAAGAACAGCATCGTGGGATCATCTCCATCCTCATCTACTCGCCTCAGCCAGTCCGGCATCTTCATTCGGTACAGCGTTTCAGCTTCGCCCCCCAACGTATTCGGTAGGCTTAATAAAAACTCTATCAGGTCCATCCCTGCTTCTATCGCAGCGGTACTTCACATTTGCAATCTGCATCAGGTAATTCTTCAGGTTGGTTCCTGATCCTGCTCCCCCCGTAAAGTGCACTGGCACCTCCACCTGAGGTGGGGCCTGCACACTCCACCTTCCCGACTCCCAAGTTCCTGAGATCTCATTCCTCCTGCTACTCTCTCCCCTCCTCTCCCTCAGCTCCCTGCTTCTTGACTCTGTCCCATACAGCACTCGCTCAATTTCTTCCCTAGCTGCCCTTGCTCCCCCAGCGCTTAACCATGACTGCTGCCGCCTCTCTCTCTCGAGCCTCCCCATATCTCTCCGATCCCCACCCTGGTCTCTCCCTCATTTCAGGGGAATGTCCTTCCCTGCGCCCCTCCCTTCGGCCTGATCCCTGGCGTGGCTGCCTGTCACACTCTCCTCCATCAACGCTCTCTGTGTCATACATTCTCCTCTGTCGCGTATGCTGTCCTTCAGCTCTCCTTCTCTACCCTCTGTTGTCCTGCTTCTTCCTCTCCTCCACCTCAGGTTCCCTATACCCCTCTTGGCCTCCCTTGTACCCCTCTCTTCCTTCAAGGGGTAATTCCTTTTCACGCCGCTCCCGCTTACCGCATTGGCGCCGATCCAAACCGTACTCATATTCCTCCTCGTCATCCTCTGTCCCCCCTTCTTGCTACCTCTCCCCTCTTCTGCAATGCTCTTCATCACTCCTTCTCGTCTCCTCCCTTCTTTCCTTCCTCCTTCCCCTTTCACCACTTTTTCTCTGGCCTTCCAGCCTGCCCCTCCATCCCTCTCTCTGGCCTTCTAGCCTGCCTCTCCATTCCTCTTCTGGCGATTTCTCCCATAACCTCTGCTGCTCCTTTCCTCCCTTCCCCAGTTTCTCTTTCTCCTGCCTGTTTCTGGCCTCTCCACCAAGTTCCTTCGTGCCCTCTGCCCCTGCTCGCAGGTGCTCTTCTCTTCCTTCCTGGCGCACTCTCGCATCTGCCCCCAAGATGCCCAACGGCGAGCGTTCACTACTTCTAACACGTGCCTCCCCCTTGTGCCTCCGCTGCCGTGCAGGCGAGCGCAGCGCACGCCTTTTCTCGCATGCTCTGGTGATCGCCATCCGCCCAGCGCCATGCGCCTCCTGCGCTCATGTCCGCGTCTTGGCTCAGGCAAGCCATACGCTCCCGCCTGCGCGTCTCGCCTCATCACTTCCTCACGTCTAGCTTCTGGCGCGCGCTCAGCCTCCTTGTCTTCGCCGCGCCTTGCGTTACTTCCGCGCATCCTGCTTGGCGAGCAATCTGCATCCATGCTCTCCCGGCGCCTCGCGCCATTCTCTAGCATTTCGCCCACTAACCCGTCTGCGTCCGCGCTCCCGCGGCGCCTCGTGCCATTCCCGCGTATTCCGCCCGTTGAACCGTCTGCATCCGCGCTACCGCGGCGCCTCGCGCCATCCCTGCGCATTTCGCCCGTCGAATCGTCTGCATCCGCGCTCCCGCGGCGCCTCGCGCCATTCCCGCGCATTTCGCCCGTCGAATCGTCTGCATCCACGCTCCCGCGGCGCCTCGCGCCATTCCCGCACATTTCGCCCATCGAATAGTCTGCATCCGCGCTCGCGCGGCGCCTCGCGCCATTCCCGCACATTTCGCCCGTCGAATCGTCTGCATCCGTGCTCCCGCAGCGCCTTACGCTGCCGTCACCCATTTCGTCCACCGCGCGACCTGCATCCGCGCTTCCATGGCGCCTTACGCTGCCGTCACCCATTTCGTCTGCCGCGCGACCTGCATCCGTGCTTCCGCGGCGCCTTGCGCTGCCTCCGCGCATCCCTCTCGGTGAGCCACTTGCTCTCGCGTCTTTGCTCCCTTCGTCGCGCTCTTCTTTCGCGACTTCGTCCTTCTCACCATCCCGCGCCATCATGATCTCGTCTGCTTCTTCCTCGCCTTCGGCCTCACTTGCCAAATCCGACGAGACCACCATGTCCGCGTCGTCGCGGCGCCTGCCACCCTCTCCTTGTTGGCCGCGCGCCCGATTCCAAGGGCCGCTGCTGGACGGTTGAGGCCTGGGCTCCGATCTTGCGTGCAGATCGTCCTCGCCTCCTTCTTGACGTCCGTCAAACACCAGATCCGTGCGGTACGCCGCCCTCCGTGGCAAACGCGTCCGCGATCTCCCACGCTCCAGTGAGCGCGTCCTCCGCGACGGTGAAAATTCCCGACGCGAGTTCATCTGCTGCCAGCGCAGCTCGTAGCAGTCCATTCTGCCCGATCGTCGTTCTCTCGTTTGTGAGAGATTCCCACTCCCACGGATGGCTGCTCACAGTGGCCTCGTCACCTAGGCTAAGGTTAGCCGTCAATAACATGTATCCACTATAGCGAGCAAACAAACAGGAGAACGAAATAAGCAGTGAGTTCCTAGTCTATTTGAATATCTACCCCGTGCTGCGCAGTTTCCCGTAACTCACATTGGGCTCCGCCCGCTAGGCTTTAGGATTGGCCCTTCAGATTGCCCAGGGCTCGCCCTTGAATTTGTCCCACCCCGCGCCTCGCAAGTCCCTTAATCACCACTTTGCGTCACTCCCCAGCACCAAACTCACCTTCTACAGTACTTCGCATAACCTAACTACACCTACACTAGCAAGTCACTGCATTTATTGCAAACAAAAATACATTCTGTGACAGACCTGCAGCTCAACCGGGAGCAGTCTGTCAACCTGCAGTTCGACCAGAAGGTCGACGGAGCGGGCCGTCGACCTGACAAGTGAGCAGCGGTTGACGAGGGGAGCTCGGCGACAATCGCTGACGGTTCTGGTTGACTGAAGGGGTCCGTCGACCAGGGGGTAGCTCGATGGGAGTTGTGGTCAACCAGAGGCACCTGGTGGTCGACCAGGTCGACCAGGTAACCTGCTCGACGAGTTCTGCGGAGGCACGCGAACGTCGTCAAGGTCGCAATGGCGCAGGCGACTTCGGGCTGGTATCCCGAAGTCGATGTGGCTCGTCAGGCGCAGACAACAGCCAACGGATGCCCAACGAGGCAAATCGGGCCAATCGTCTGTGCGCACCTGCGAGCGTGCGCACTGCTGTGTTCTACGGGGCAACGCTGGACAGCCGCTCTGTTGCAGCGTTGGTACGCCGTCGACCTACTCTGTTGGCAGGTCCCCCTTCTGCAGTGCTGGCGCGGCTCCTCTACGCAACGCTGGCAGGCGGTCGACCGAATTGTGCTGGCGGTCGACCAGGCTAGCTGCAGGGTTGCTAGGTGCCTGATGTAGTCATTCTGTCATTGTGTGTTCAACCATTCTGTAATTCCAACTTTGCTAGTAGAAACTCTTGCCGATTTCTCCCGTGAATGCACAAGCACTAAGGAACTAAGCAAAGCTACGATCACTCCTAGTAGTTCGTGCCAACCCCCGTAGCCTAGCTCACTACCATTGTAGAGTGACTCTCCGCATTAGGGAGATGGGTGTGTGAATTAAGAAAAACAGGAATGAGAATGACTAAGTGAAAGTTGGGTACAAGAAGCAAACCCTAGAAAACTGTACCCCATATGTGCTACCCCACTCTAGCCTACAGTAGCTATGTCATATAAATCTGACACACCCCCATAGGCAAAGTGGGGGAGAACAAGGGGTCACAAGACCAGTCAAGCAAAGCAAAGCAAAAACAAGCTCAGGGTGGATCACAAAGTCACCACACATTCCGAGCACAAGTTCAAGGCCACAAGGCCAGTTCACAAGCAGGAGTACACATATATATAAAAAAGGCTAGACAAACAAGAGCAGGTATATATATATGTAACAGTACAAGCAAGGTCAAGAGGTGAGCAAGTGAGGCAAGGTAGGCACAAGGCCCAGCTGAGTACAGAAGCGCTGATGGTCACAAGGCGCAAGTGCCTTGGTGAAGATATCAGCAGTGTTGGCCTCAGAGGCCACGTACGCAAGACGCAGCTGACCACGCTGCTGCAGCTCACGAGCAAGAAAGTAGCGGAGAGCAATGTGCTTCGTTCTGTGCTCCAGTCGCTGCTCCCGACACAAGGCCAGCATGGCCTTGTTGTCTACGTACAGCACTGGAGGAGAACGAGGCAACTCTCCGAGGTCAGTCAGCAGGTAGGTGAGCCAGCGAAGCTCCTGTGCAGCCATGGCTCCTGCGTAGATCTCAGCCTCACAACTGGAGCCGAGAACAGAAGACGAGCGAGTAGCCCGCCACGAAACAGAGCCGGAACCAAGGCTGAAGGTGTAACCCTGTGACGACCGCTGCGTAGCCTGGTCGTCAGCCCAAGAAGCGTCTGCGTGCCCAGTAAGGACCACTGGACTCTGCCCTCCAAGCACAAGCCCCATGCCCGACGTACTGCACAAGTAGCGCAACACCCTCTTCGCTGCAGCCATGTGCTCCGGTCTGTGTCTCCCAGGAGCAACATAGCGTGCAAGAATGCTAAGAGGGTATGCAAGGTCAGGTCGTGTGCAGGTCATCAGGTACATGAGGCAGCCAACCAGCTCTGGGTACGGGCCACTCGACTCTACGGACTCATCCGAAGGCAGAGCTGAGAGCGAGTGGCGAGTAGGCAGAGGAGTGGCCTGAGGCGAGGAGTACGTGAAGCCGAAGCGCTGAAGGACCTGCTGCACCATGTGTGACTGGGTCAGGGTAATGGTGCGGCGTGCTCTGTCCCGAGTGATCTGCAAGCCAAGGTAGCTGCGCAGTTCACCCAGGTCAGTGCACGTGTGTCTCTTCTGCAGCTCGGACTTCACGTGGGCTAGTCCAGCAGTGTCAGCTGTGGCAAAGACCAAGTCGTCGACGTACACGAGGATGTAGAACGGCGGTAAAGAAGTGTCGGTGCGCAGAAACAGCGACGGGTCGGCAGTAGAGGGAGCAAACCCAAGAGCCGCAAGTGTAGTCCTCAGTGTGTCGTGCCACTCACGCGGTGCCTGGCGGAGACCGTAGACTGGCCGCCGTAGGCTCCACTGGGTGCCAGGAGGAAAAGACCTAGTGAAGCCAGGTGGGCGACGCAGCCAGATCTCCTCGTGCAGGCTGCCCTGCAAGAAAGCAGTGCTGAAGTCAAGAGAGTGTAGCTCGTAGTCACGGTGAGCAGCTACGTGCAGCAGTACCCGAAGAGTGGTCATCTTCGGGGTGGGAGAGAAGGTCTGAAAGTAGTCAACTCCCTGCCGCTGACTGAAGCCACGAGCCACGTAACGCGCCTTGAAGACAGGCGGAGAACCCGGCGGTCGCTTCACCCTGAAAATCCACATGCCACTGACGATGTTCGCCCCAGGAGGGGGAACAGCGTCAACGTAGGTGCCTGTGGACTTCCAGGAAGCCATCTCTGCGTCCATAGCTGCCTGCCACTGAGAGGAGTAGGGACCCTCTATCGCCTCCGCGTAAGAGCGCGGAGTCGGGATGTCAAGTGCATCCGGGTCTCCCTCAGGGGTAAGCAGTACGGACACGAGATGAGGTGAAGCAGCGGCCAAGCACTGGAACTCCTCCTGCCTGTCCTCAAGGACGTCCGTGCCAAGGGCACACTCACCCCCGACGGACGGAGGACAGACAGACTCAGACTCAGCAACAAGACTGGCGACGTAGTCTAGGCGACAGCGAGCAACAAAGTCGACGAGCTCAGCAACAAGAGCAGACGCAGCAGTGGACTCAAAGGAAGGGTCAGTGACAACCGTAGCAAGGAGACGCGTGACAGTAGGACTGGCAGCGCGAAGAGAGTCCGACTCCGGGTCGGCAAGAGTAGGAAGAGAAGACTCAGGAGGAGAAGGCAAAGGGGCACGCAGAGGAGCAGTGGACGGACGCAGAGACATCCGGTGCGTGCCAGGGACAGGAGGAGGACGCTGACGCGAACCGCGACCACTAGTGCGAGCAGCACGGACAGGCGACGCAGGGCGAGACGCAGGCTCACGACGCTCAGCAAGACCTCCAGTAGGACCAGTGTAGGGAGACGGAGCAGGCAGTGGGGAGGCCGGCTGTAACTGTAACTGCGACGGGACAGGCTGTGGACACTCTAAGGGAGGAGGAGGACCAGTAGAAGGCGGGAGACCAAGAACCTGCTGAAGGAGCGGAACGAAGTACGGCCGAGGCCGCGCGGCGACTCCAGACACAGGAGGGACAGCACCAGCACCCGCAGGGGCAGCACCAGCACCAGTAGCAGCTCCAGCTCCAGAACCCCCAGCAGCACCAGTAGTACCCCCAGCAGGACTGCCTCCAGGACCGACAGCAGTAGCCTCCGCGCCAACACCCGCAGCAACTCCAGCTCCAGAAGTACCCGCAGGTCCAGCAGCTCCAGAACTCCCAGTACGAGCACCTCCGGGACCCGTGGCACCAGCTCCCTCAGAAGCAACAGAACCTCCAGTACCCGCAGCACCTCCAGCTCCAGCAGCTCCAGCAGCTCGCCTCCAGCGCCGGGCAAACCACTCACGCAGCTCCTGGGGAGAGAGTGGCTCTCGGCGAGAGGGAGCACCCGGTGAACCGCCAGGCACAGCACCACCAGGCGTAGCACCCCCAGGCTCAGCACCTCCAGGCGTAGTACCCCCAGGCTCAGCACCCCCAGACGCAGCACCCCCAGGCTCAGCACCTCCAGGCGTAGTACCCCCAGGCTCAGCACCCCCAGTCGTAGTACCCCCAGACTCAGCACCCCCAGGCTCAGCACCCCCAGGCTCAGCACCCCCAGGCGTAGCACCCACACGCTCAGCACCCCTAGAGTCAGCACCCCCAGGCTCAGCACCCTCAGCAGCACCAGAGTCACCAGCGACCTCGACAGGCTCAACAGCGTCTACCTGGGACACACCTGAAGGGGCAGGACCCTGAGGGGGGAGGGGGTCTACCGGGGGGGGACCTGGTACAAGGAAGAGCGGTGGCGGGGGGAGGGGCGGAGTGCGGTAGGGGAAGAGGCGGTAGTAGGGGACCGACTCGTCGAACGTGACGTCCTGGGAGGACAGAACACGGCGAGAGGTGGGGTGGTAGAACTGCCACCCTGGGGCGTCAGGGGGGAAACCCAGGAAGACGCAAGGAGCAGCACGAGGGGACAGCTTGTCCGCAGACAAGTCGCGGACAAACGCCCGAGATCCCCAGACACGGAACGCAGACGCATCGCCAACCTTCCCCGTCCACAGCAAAGCTGGGGAGGTCTCCGGCATGGAGACCCTGGGCTGAAGGTTGATCTGATGCGCCTCGTACCAAACCGCAAACGGCCACAGAAAATGGGGGGCAGCCGCATGCATCATGGACGTACGGGCGACGTCCATGACCATGCCAATGCGGCGCTCAGCA